CCATAGGGAGCTTTGCCGAAGGCTCCAGTGGCTGCGTTCGCATGCGGTTGCGCTCCAATTTCGGCACGCTCCTCGCGCGCTTTGTGGCTCCACCGAGTGCCCCAGTGGTTGCGTTCGCATGCGGGTCCACTTGGATGATGGATGATTGTTTGTTCGAGTTAGGCGACGACACGAGTGACAAGCACAAAACGTTGGAGAACGCCTTTCGCACGCGCAACGTCGCGGCGCGCACGGCCATCGATAGCAAGTTCAGGAAGCGGTTGAAGGCAGAGCCCGAGGAGAGGAAGAAGTGGGACGCGATCAAGGTGCGGTCCCAGAAGCAGGAGTTCAAGCTCGACTGGGTGGACAGGGAGTGGGCCAAAGTCCAGAAGACCAGGGAGCACGTCAAGCAGCAGAGCGAGGAGGTCGGCGACTGGGGCGCGCACAAGCCGTTCGAGGTCATTGCGAAGGACGAGAGCGGGATCGGCATCACGGAGAGCAGCGCTCTTGCAGCGCTCAACATCTGCCTGACGCGCATGAAGATGGGAAGCCCGTTCACGAAGTACAACACGTTCTCTCGCAGGATGGAGTTCTTGCACGTGAAGTCCCAGCACCATTGGAAGTTCGAGAAGAAGTGGACCGAGCACCAGAAGGAGTGCGGAGATTAAGGCGACCTCGTGAAGGAGTACGTGGGCGTGCTCTCGGACGGGCGCCCCCGCCGACGCCCGCAGCTCAGTGCCCAGGTCGTTCCAGGCGACGCCCCAGATCCTCAGCTTTCGGCGCCGGCCCCGCCTCTTGAGCAGGGCGAGGCAGACGAACAGCTGCGTCGACCCTGTCCAGCACGACGCCCCAGTTGAACGCGCCGACCGAGGCCTGCGCCGCCCGCCCAGGAAAGCCTTCGCGCGCCTCTGGTAGTCCGCGAAAATCGCCTTCGCCACCGACCCCGCCTCCAGGAACGCGGGCGGGCGCGAGCCCGGGAGGGGCGCCGAATCGGGCGATGCCGTCTGGCACCGGGCCCTTCTCGCAGTCGCCGTCGCAACAGATGCGAGGCCTACTAACTTCATCCAATCGCCCCTGTCGGCCGCCAGCGCCCTCGCCTCGCGCGAGCGCGACCTCGCCCGGCCCGTCTGAGCCGAAAATCGGGAATCGCGGCGCGGCTGGCAGCTCAGCCTTGCCATCGGGGTCATCGGCAGGCCCAGCCGGGGAGCCGCCCTCCTCGCAATGCCGCTCGAAGTAATAGAGAAGCCTCGGGAGGGGTTGTCGGCTGGGCCTCTCTCCGACGGGGCCCAGCGAACGCGCGCGCGAAGGCGGCGGGCCAGCGCGAGGGCGCAAATCTCTCTGCGGATGTCCCGAAGTTAGAAAGCCGACAGGCGACCCTTCCCCGCAGCCAGCGCTAACCGCAGGTTGTCGACCAGCAGGGAGACCCGATGCCCGAAGGCCCCTCGATCCCGCGGGAGATGCGAGGGGAACTGGACAAGGCGAGCCCCTCCAACCGAAAGACGTTCGCTGGGCCCCGCCAGGGAAAAGACTCAGCGATGTGCCATGCCTCCGGGTGCGCGAAGTTCGCGTCCACATGTCGAAGGCCTTCGCGTGCTCGGCCATCTGGCAGATCGTTGGAGACAAGCGCTCGGTCGAGGTCCGCGTCGCCGTGGAAGACGCGAGCCCGTGCAGCCACTGCGCCCAAGTGCCGCCATCGCTCGGCCGTCCGGCCCCGACGGGCGACGTCGGCGACCGGCGCCTCGCGCTCGCAGACGCCGAAGCGCTCCCACGGCCGGCCAGGACACGGCGCCCTTGTTGCAGGGCGCAACGCTAGTCGAGCACTCGCCGCGCATGGCGGCGCCCCCGCAGAGCTCGCGAAGGCCCCCGCGGCGGCGGAGATCATCAGGACAGGCTCTAGTGGCGAGGTAGCTGCGCTCGAGGTGGTCAAGGCGCAGCTGTTGCGCCGCGCTCGGAACCCCACCCCCTGCTGACTGCCGCCCAGAGAGGGCGTTGAGGGCGCGGGCTCCGTCGCCAGCCCAGTCGATGGCGCGGCGGCGGCGGTGAGCGCGGCGAGCGACAGCGCGGCGGCCGCCCCCCCGCAGCATCAGGAACAGGAAGGAGAAGCAAGAGGAAGACGCCGCGCTGGCGCATCTCCACCTCGCGGCCGAAAATCGCAATGCCTGCGCGCCACGGGCCAAAAAGCAACAGGCAGCCCACATCGCAGAGGTACTGGGCCCCTTGGGCTTGGCAAGCTGTCTCTCCTCGCGCGCTTTGCGCCTCTCCTTCGCCGCTGCGTTCTCGCGCGCGATCTGCTCGCTGACCCAGGCGGAGAGAGCGGGCGCCACCGTGGGCCCCCTGGTCGTGGTCATCCCGGTGAAATAGTACTCCTCATCGCGGTGCTGGTTGTCGTCCTCGCGCGCCCCGAGGACGCGATCGCGGCGGCGCTCCTCGCAGACCTGAAGCTGGCTGCCGCGCCACCAGCTCCAGGCTCCCCAGGTTCGAGGTGCCCAGCTGATCATAGTAGAGCGCAGTCTCGAATACCTTCGAGAACACATGATGGGTTGAGACCACGATGTCGTCCAAGCCCAGGCGGACGACCGACCTCCACTGCGCATGGTGCCAGAGGGCGCTCCCGCCGTTCTCCGGCATGAGCGTGGCCACTCGGTGCACTGTCCTGGGTCCAGGGACCGCCCAGTCGCTCCAGTCCACGGCCCTGAGCAAGGCCGCCCCTGCTGCGAAGGCGCGGTGCCACTTGCCATTGATGTCATACTGCGCGGCGAGCGCCCTGCAATCTCCTGCTCCGTCGTCGCCGCTGCCGCTGGCAGGCGCGGCCGACCCGCTGGGCGGGATGCCTCCTGCGCCGGCCAGGGCGGCTGCCAGCCCGTCGGCACCGCCCGCGGCCCTGGGCGCAGCAGGGGCGCGAGCCGCCGCCAGCGCGGCCGCAGCAGCTGGGGGAGCCAAGACCAGGCTTCCGCCATCGCCCAGCCCTTAACTGGCGCTGCAGCGGCGGGCGGGGCCAGCCCTTAACTGGCGCTGCAGCACTGGGGGGTCCCGCGGCTGCTGGGGCGCCCGCTCCTCCTCCCGCTCCTGCGGCAGCTCCGGCAGCGCCGTCGCCGCCTCCGCCCAGCAGCGCGGCCAGGCCACCGCCGGGCCCTCCTGCGACAGCGAGCCCCCCTCCTCCGGGCGCAGCGCCTGGGGCGGCAGCGGGCGCCGCTGCAGGGGCGGCGGGCCCCCTCGCGGCCGCGGCGCCGACGCCGGCTGGCGCGAGCGCACCGGCCCCACCTGGCGCGGTGCGAGCAGCAGCCACAGCAAGAGCTGCATCGTGACCAGCGAGCAGCACGAGAACCTGCTGCGCTAAGGCCTCCAGCTCGGCCAGCGCCACCCCTCCGGCGGGATTCGTGATGTCGCCGTCCTCGCGGATGAGCCCTCGGCCCAACCCAATGCGGTACCAGTACCTGATGTCTTCGTTCCCGTCCGTCAACCACTCGAAAAACACATCACGCTCTGGCGAGACCACCGCAGGGTGAAGGGGCTGAATCCCCGAAGTTCCAGCGACGACTCGAGCGCGCAGCAGCGGGGCACCCGGGAGATCGTACTCCACATGCAGTTCATTACCAGGGCTCATACCCTGAGAGCTGCAGGCGTCCTGTACTTGATCAATCGGCCTCGGCCGCTTGGCACGCGCAGCCCGACGACCGCCAGCTCCGCCTCCAGCTCCCCCGAGGATGCCCGTCCTCGCCTCCGGCCGCAGCAGCGGCCTGCTCGGCCGTGCACAGCGGCCCAGCACCGAGCCACGAGCTCCCAGAGCACGAGTGTCACGAGGCCGAAGGCGACCTCGAAACCCCACGAAAACTCGTTCTTGGCCGGCTCGGGGCACGCCGGGCAAGGGTCGGGGCACTCCAGCAGCGGCGCCGCGGCTGCCCAAGGCAGGCACTGCTCCAGCTCCCCGCGCAGCCCGCTGGCCAGCGCGGGAGTCGGCGGCGCGGCCGCCAGGCAGCTCCGCGCCGGCGGAGCTGGCGCGGGCACCGCGAACCGCGGTGCCAGTGCGGCCTGTGAAACCGCCCGCGGGCCAGCGGGGCCGCGAGCGCCCCACCACTGGCCGAGCCACGCGGTGCCCATAGAAGGCCAGGAGCGCCACGCCCCGGCCCGCCTGGCGCATGCAGGTGCGCGCGAGTCTGGCGAGCACGCGACCTCCTTACGAAAAAGGCTTGAGCAGTGACTGGTTGCAGATTGCACCGCAAGGCCCTGTTCAAGAGCTAACCAGCATCATCATCATCATCATCATCATCATCATCATCATCATCATCATCATCATCATCATCATCATCATCATCATCATCATCGTCATCGTCATCGTCATAGTCATCGTCATCGTCATCGTCATCGTCATCGTCATCGTCATCGTCATCACCACCACCACCACCATCATCATCATCATCATCATCATCATTATCATCAACATCAACATCAACATTGTCATCATCATCATCAGCATCAGCATCAGCATCAGCATGAGCATCATCATCAGCATCATCATCGTCATCATCATCGTCGTCGTCCTGTAGCTCCTTCCTCTTGTCCGCTTGCCACTCGGCTGCAGGTGATCCTCTTCCTCCTCCCCTCATCTCCTCGTCTTCCCCCTTCCCACTCTTCCTCCTTCCTGCATCCATCTTTCCCGTTTGTTCCTCCTTCCCCCAACCTACACTCTCCATCCTCCTCCCTCCATTCTTTCCCCCCCCAAATGACGACGACAACAACCACGACCACGAAGCCTACGACGTCGACAGCGAGGACGACGACGAGGGCGACGAGGGCGACGACGACGGCGAGGACGACGACGACGAAGACGGCGACGGACGAAGACGAAGACGACGGCGGCGAAGACAACGACAGCAATGATGACGACGATGACGACGTCCCCCTCGTACGACGATGACGACAGCGACGACGTCATCCTCCTCCGCAGACGGCGCGGACGATGTTCGACGTCGACGGCGCAGCGACAGCGACGGCGGCGACATCGAGGCTGGAAGGCACCAGGCCTTGTGCGTCTTGTAGTTGGCAGGGTGCGCGTACAGCTTCATGGGCATCGCGGCAGCTCTTCACGCGGCGAGCGCCCCGCGCGATCTTCAGGAGGTTTGGAAGTGAGCGCCAACACTAAGACGAGGGGCTGCCTCCACCGAGGGAAGGTGGTCCTAGCTTTTGGTGTTGGCGGTGCTCTTTCGGCCACCTAGCAAGCCCGAGAATGACCACCACCACCACCGAGATCGGGATCATGTTCCCTCGTTGGAGGCACAGCGTCGATATGGGTGTTGGTGCCAACCTCTAGGCCCTTGGGGTGCGTGGTCCTGGGAGCCAAATGGCTGCAGGAGGAACAGGGTCGGCGGTGCGCCGAGGGGGGAGGTGCGAGGGGGAACGCCTCCTGAGAAGGCGGCGCTGTAGCTCCAACAAGCTTAGACAGCTTCTCAGAATTCCGAGGATCCCCTGCGCCTTCTGAGAAGGCCCGCCCCCTCTGCCGCCGACAAGAGGAGTGGGAGAATGGCGGCAGGCTTGTGGCAATCTTCGGCACCCCAGTGGGTGGGTCGCCGCGCCCTGGGATCGCCAGCAGAAGCTGCGCAGGATGGAAGGACTGTCCTAGGGGAAAGCGTCGAGACATCCACGGACTCTGCACTCTGCGTTGTGCGACAACGCAAAACGTCGGAGGTCTAGGAGGGAGAAATTCTCGAAGGCCTTCGGTAGTGCTCAACGGCCTCTCTGGAGCCCCGGCAGCCTGCTGAAGCAATGGATGCCTCTGGACGCGGGCGGTAAAAGTGGCGGAGGAAAGGAACATGTAGGAGGGGAGGGAGAAAAGGAGGAGGAGGAGGAGGAGAAGGAAGAGGAGGACCAGAGTAAACACATGATGCGTCAAGGATGCTGCAATACACCCTCGCGTCCCAAGTCCCCTCCTCATAAGCCACTGCAAGCTTTCCTCCACAACGACAAGAATCGCCACCAAGAAAAACAAACACCCTTCGGGTCTGCCATTCATACCAAGACCCGGTCCTGATGAAACGGGGCTACGAAGCATCCACTTGGAACACGATCAAATGTGCGTGGATAAACCAACGAGGTGCCCAACGATATCCCCCTGTCGAGATCGGACTGGCCACATCCGTGAATGTGTTGCATATGTTCTCTTCTCTCGCCATAAACTTTGGGGGTGCCTCAAGCGAGAACCCGTTTGGGAAAAGGCGCCGCCCTCGATCCGTGCGGTGCTACATGTGCTGGAGCCTCTTGTGTTAAGGTTACAGGATGCCTCAATCGGTGGCGTCATGTTGAAAAGTGGTCGTCCCCCATCCTTCCAGCGATTGGCAAAATAGAAACGCAGTTGCGCGGCACGAGGGCGAGCGCCCAATGTCTAAAACGACATACGTTCCGTCCATGTGGCTGCTGTAAAGGTTTAACACGAATGTGCGTGGCGCGTAGGCGAGAACCCATTATGAAAGCACGCCCTCCATCTCAGTCAATGTTCCAAATGTTTCTCTTGATGCGCGCGGCGCCAAGGCAAAACAGACAGCTTGAAAGTGACTGGCCGCCCATCCCTGAAGCTGTTACCTTGTACGCACGTTTGAATCACATGTGCTCAACGATGTGGCGGGAGCCCCGGGTTCAAAACAAGCCCCTTCAATCCTTGAAACCACTGACAACTTGTACGACGAACGTGCGCGGCGCCAAGGTGAGACCTACATGTTGCAAAAAACTGGCCTCCGTCCGTGAAACTGCTGGAGCATGTTAAGAAGCACATGTAAAAAACACCAGTACCCCATCCTTGAAACTGTTGCAAGCTTTAAGCGATAATGTGCGCGGCGCGCACATGCGAGAACCACATGTTGAGAAGGCCCCCACATCCGTCCTTGAAACCGCCGCAGAATCTTACAGCGAATGCGCGCGGCACCACGGCGAGAGCCACAATGTGAAAACACCCCGGCCCATCCGTGAAATTCTTGCACGTTCCAGTTTCCTTGTAATACATGGCCTCGGAATCTCAAGCGAAACGCATTAGCATTAGCATTAGCATTAGCATTAGCTTTAACATTCCATAGCCATTTTAGGGTTCATTTCCTGAAGACGCCGTAAAGACAGAACACTTGTAGAACCCAAGCTGCTCATAATATCCGTCATTGTACCCAGCAGCACTTTGAAAGCAGAATTCTTGATATCACGATATCTCGAGCAGCTCGATTTGTGCTCGAGCCAGGCCGTGTACTGAATTTGTCTGCAGAGCGCGAGCAAAAAGACGGACAGGCGAAGGAGTGCAGTTGCAGATCGAATTCCTTATTCTTATTTGGGTGGGTTACACAGTTCCTATCTCCTGCACAATGCCGCCATCAGGAAGCAAATACCTGGAGATCAGCGTCGGGAGCGCAGCCGGAGTCCGGGAAGCAGGCTCGCGGACACTTCGGCCGACCTCGCCGAGGTGGAGCCCGACTACGATACCGATGATCTCACTTGGTATTTGACTACCTACCAGACCACCCCAACCCAACCCGAAGACCCGAATTTGATCCGAATTTCGGGTTGGGGGGGGTACGGGCACCATGTGTTTTTTCAACGTTCCCCGACCCCCCCACACTGGAAATGGAGGGCAAATTGAGGCCTTCGGGTTGGGTTGGGGTGGTTTGGTAGGTGGTGAGTATTGCCTGAACGAGTTGGAGGCAAAGGAGTTGCGGAAGCCATATGGCAAAGCACTCTCTGACCTCGTACGACAACTGTGGCGCGACATGAATGCAGTAGCACGTCTCAGGGCCAAAGCAAAGGAATGGAAAAACATGCTGATCTTCGAACCCAATTCGGAAACCTTCCAGTCGATCACGGGGGCCACGCAGATCCCCAAGGCCTTCCAGACCATTACGACCAAGGACAAGAAACCTAAATACCCCGACATCGTTGCGGCAGACTTCAACGCAATCGAGGACCAGGAGAGGGCACGGGGCAGCCTCAGCCCTCTCAGGCTCTTCGCGCTCCACTACGGGGCGGTGGTGGAGGCCATCAAGAAAGTGCAGAACGACCTTCTCACAGAGGATCACTTGGTGGATAAATGTACTCAAATGGTCACATACAGTTCTTCTATGATGTCAGACATCCTGGGTATTGTGGACAAAGAGTCGACACAACAGAAAAACAAAGTCTGGACCGAACTGGCGCGAAAAATTGCTATTCACGCTTATCACCACACTGTCAGGGATTTTCTGAAGCAGCATGAAAAGCAGGCATTGCGACTCGCCCAGAAAAAGGAAAAGGTAGAGAAGGCGAAACAGCAAATGCAGCACATGGACGGAAAGGAGGTGGCACTCCGGCTGTCCATGGAACATCATTTTGCGTTGCATCCGAAAGGTAAGCCCAAAGACGTGGCACACCCGAACAACATGACCTCGATCACCCAGATGCTGAGCAAAGAGTACGACATCCAATGCAAGTTGCCAAAAAACGTACGGCCCTCCGCGTCAGCACCACCGACTCCGTCGAAGGGGCGCGGAAAGGGCAAGACCAGCAGTGGTGGCAAATTGAACGAATGACGACCTCCCAAAGGTCGCGGCAAAGGGCGGTCCGTTGGCAAAAGCTCGGCGGACACCTTCAAAGGCAAAGGCAAAGGCAAGAGTTACGGCAAAAACCGCGGCTACAGCAAGGGCAAGGGCAAGACATCACCCGGGTGACTCCAACCTAAGACCCATGGAGGCCCAACCGGAAAGAAAAAAAAAATGGGGCGCGCCGAAGAACCCAGGGGGTCCGGTTTCCGCGGAGGAAAGAAAAAAACCCTGGCGATGGGGTTCGAGCACGGGGGTTACCCCCCCCTCAAATTCCGGAAGAGGAATGAACTCCCAGCCGCCGGGGTGCCCGCGCGAGGGGTCCCACCCCCCCAAGCGCAACCAGAGGAAGAAAAGCGTGAGAGCCGAGACTGTAAGTGCAATGCAACAACACCTTAATCGCGGTTGCACTAGGGATTTGTATTAGTACGGGAACAACTGAATTACAGCCGGTGAGGTTTGGGTTCGGGTTCGGGCTTATATATTGGGAACCCAGTACTGGGGATTGGCGATAGGGCGTTGTTCTAGGGGGCACAATTTTACCAGCTGTAATATGATACCAGCTGCACTCGAATATTTGCACGGCAGGACAACGTGCTCTCTAGGAACAACTGCGCGATAGGACATGATAGTACCAGTTGTACTCAAGTACGAGTTGTACGGTAGTCGGAGGGGTTCAGGGGTTTCAACGGCAACGCGCGCGGGGAAGAAGGAAAGAAATCCATGCGCCGCCAGGGGTCCCGGGTTTAACGGGTCGCTGCGAAGGTTGACCCCCCGCGGAAAGAAGAAAAGAAATCCGGCCGGGGGGTTGGGGGGTTGAGGGATGAGTCACGGGGGCGATGGCAAGACGTCCACCTCCTACGACCAGAACGCCCTGAGCAACTACAAGGGCTCGAAGGGTCGTGGGAGAGGCCGTGGACGAGGGAGAGGACGAGGCCGGGGCAAGGGCAAGGGCAAAGGCAAAGGCAGAGCCTAGCCCGACGCATCTCTGGCCATCGACCTCGATACGAGCCAGTCCACAGCGTGGAGCACTACATAAGAATCCTTCTACGGAAGCTGTCCGTTTCACATCTTCGCCATTGGGTTCAGGCCCGAGGGGTCTTCGATTTCGCAGGAGTCAGCCCTAGCATCATGACCTTCCTCGGCACCACTGGCGGTAAATTCACTATTAGCCAAACTTTTTCGGAATACCGTAGTGCTCTCAATACTGGTTGGAATCGGTTCGAAAGATCCGTCTTGCTAAACGCTTACTTTAAAGTGCAAAATCAACTAGAAGATTCTGCGGCTGCCCAAGATACGAGTCTTCGTTTCCTCGAGCCTGCGTGGGACGACGACCGAGGCTTCGCAGATGATCGGCATCTCCTTGTCGGTTCACGGCGTCGCCGGCTACACGCCGACACGTTTTCTGGTCGAGAAGCGAACCTGTTCAGAGCGATGGCTAACAAGACTTGGATGCCAAAGCTACACAATGGTCAAGATTATGCTTATCCAGATGTCGTGAACGGATGGTTGAAAGATCTGAAAAC